AATCTAGAATTGTGTGCTGTGAATTGATTATGCAGTGCCTAGCATTAAGGATTTTCTTGATTAAGAACCTATAGAGTGAAATTGTATTGAGTGATTTGAAAAGTGTATTGAGTGATTGAAAAGGGCAGAAGCGCATGGACATTCTTTATTTCTCCCCCTGAACTGCATGCATCGCACCTTTTGCCCATCGCAACAGCCTCCCAGTACCACAAAAAGCAAATGGAACCACACAGCTGGTGGACCTGGGTCCCCACCTAGGAATGACTGACTCCCCTAACATCACACAACTTGCTGGCAGCAGAGCCAAGACTTGAACCCTGGAGTCAGTTCTAGACCCAGCTCTTTCTCTCTCTCTCTCTTTTTTTTTTTTGTGTGTGTGTGGGTGTGTGGGGGGGGTTACTGGCGACTGAACTCAGGTGCTCTCAACCAGTGAGCCACATCCCCAGTCCTGTTTTACATTTTATTTAGAGACAGGGTCTTATTGAGTTGCTTAGCACCTCACTTTTGCTGAGGCTGGCTTTGAACCTGCCATCTGCTGCCTCAGCCCCAGCTCTTTTTTTTTGGTACTGGGATTGAACCCAGGGGCACTCAACCACTGAGCCACATCCCCAACCCTATTTTGTATTTTATTTAGAGACAGGGTCTCATTGAGTTGTTTAGAGCCTCCCCATTTCTGAGGCTGCTTTGAATTGGTAATCCTCCTGCGTTAGCCTCCCGAGCCGCTGGGATTACAGGCATGCGCCACCGCACCAGGCCAGCCCCAGCCCTCTTGAACACTGCACCATCACCCGCCGGTTTTCAAAACTGGAGCATTAACCAGAATTACCTAGAGAGCGTGTTCAAGCACAGGCTGCAGCCCTGACCCAGAGTTTCTAATCCAGGGTGTTGACAATTTGCATTTCTTTTGTTGCTATTTCACTCTGGGGACTGAACTCAGGACCTAGAATACTCTATTGACACTGACCTAGCTCCAGCCCCAAGAATTTGCATTTCTAAAATGTTTCCATGTCCTGCTGCTGCTGCTGGTGGTCCCAGGTGTGTAGGGTAAAAACTTCTACTGGAGCTGCCCAGGATGATGGTACACTCCTGTAATCCCAGGGACTCAGAAGTCCAGCAACCTAAGAGGCCAGAGGATTGCATGCTGGAGGTCAGCCTGGGCAATTCTGCCAAACCCTGTCTCAAAATTTTTAAAAACGGGTGAGGTCGGGGATGTAGCTCGGTGGTAGAGCACCCCTGAGTTCCATCCCCAGTACAGCCAACAACAATAGTAATAATAAAATAAAATAAAAATAATAAATCTCTGCTATAACTCCTAATTACATTCAGAATTATCCAACACAGGAGAGTATTTTGCCAACAGCATGTCAACCTCTACAAAGGATCCAAGAGTTGTATTTATGATATTAGTTTTTTTTGGGCCATACTAGGGATTAAACCCAGGGCTCCTGCACTCTGGGCAGGTGCTGGACCACTGAGCTACATCCAAGGTGTTCTTTTATTTTTTTATTTTGAGACAGGGACTCAGTAAGTTGCCCAGGCTGACCTCAAACTTGCAACCCTCCCGCCTCAGCCTCCTGAACACGGGGGCTGCCTCTGTCCCTCCACTTACCCAGCATCACCGTTTTTTCCAGGTCCATTACTTGAGTGGAGGTTCGTTTCTTCACCAAATGTCTTGACTCCCTGACTGAAGGTCATTTTTTTTTTTTAAATTTTAGTTGAATATAAACTCAGTGCCTTTATTTGTTTTTATGTGATGCTAGGATCAAACCCAGTGCCTCCCACTTGAGAGGCAAGTGCTCTATCTCTGAGCTACAACTCCAGCCCATGACTGAAAGTCATTTGACTGTGTATTTGAGAGTTTATATCTGGGCTCTTTTTCCAGTTCTTGCATTCCTTTCTACAGCTAATATTCCATTGTTTTAAATAGAGCCTATTTTATTTACAGTAAGCTTAATATTTTTTTTCTTGGTATTTAATCATTTCACGTTATCACATCGTGATTCACGGGCTACCAAACCCTTGCCCAGGCTTCGCTTTGACTGTCAAAACATTGTCTTTGCTGAAGACAGTGCCTTTGTTGCCATTGCTTCTGGATTGCTTGTTTAATTCTTGTGAAGTCTCTATTGTCATTTTAGGACCCCAGAGCGCCTACAACAAAGAAAGCTTCAGTGCTGAGCTCTCTACCTCACAGGACTACAAACCTCTTTTTCTGTTGCTGTTACTGGAGATTAAATCCAGAAGTGCTTTAACTATGAGCCACATCCCTAGTCCTTTTTATTTTGAGAAAGGACTCCTGCCGAATTGCTGAGGATGGCCTCCAATTTGCAATCCTCTTGCCTCAGCCTCCCCAGTCCCTGGGATAATAGGCATGCACCACCGTGCCACACTACTGCAAATTCCTCTAATCAAATCTCAAATTACTCAAATTTTGTAAGTCACACTGTTGATATTCAAGGCACACTCCAGTAATCCCAGGAACTCAAGAGGCTGAAGCACGAGGATGGCAAGTTTAAGGCCAGCCTCAGCAAGTTAGCCAGAACCTATCTCAAAAATTTTTTTAAAGGGGAGTGGATCTGGGAATGTAGCTCAGTGGTAAAGCACCCCTGTGTTCAGTCCCCCAGGCGGCAAAACAAAACAGGAAATTCTCGGTAATACTGGTCTTGCGTGTGTGCATGTGTGTGCATGTGGAATCGTACAGGGTCTTGCCATGGGCGACTCCATCTTTCTTTTTTCCCATTCCCTTTCTCTCTCCTGGAGATGGCCTTTGCACTGTATTCTTCCGATCCTGCTTGTTTTTCTGAGATGATTTCAGAAAACAGCTGTTCATCATAAAAACTGACCCCCAAACTGGAACTTCCTGCCCTCAGGAGAAGAGCTAGTCATCACAAGGCATTTACCTGGGGTCAGGCCAAAACACCAGACTGTGGGACTTAAGCTCTTGGGAAATGCTTATTTCTGCTCAGAGACCCTGACCTGATCCTCAAATAAATATTCCTACTTCCCCGGAGGGGACTGGAAAGGGGACTTGAGGCATTAGTTGTCATCCTTCCTGGTAAGAAACAGACATGAGCAGCAGGAACATGAGGTTAAGGGAATCATTCTATAAACTGGGCTCGCTGCGCTGATCCTTTCTTTCTCTCTCTCTCTCTCTTCTTTCTTTCACCTGCAGCCTGCCTGGTGTAAGCCGACAGGTTATGTTATATTCCTCAGCCAACAACCTGTTATCTAAATGCCTGGCCAGAAATGCTGATGAGGAGAACACAAGTTACACCTAAGCAGATGATTTTTGTGACCCTTAGATCTGGGAACTCAGGGAGATAATAGTAATTCCCCCTAAAATCTATAAGAGGTTCTAGTTAGAACCTGTCAGGATGGGCCAAAGCGACCTAGAGTTGTCATGACAGTGGGGACTTGACTGTCTGATACCATCCAGCTGTCAGTCACAAGTCAAAAGGTGGACCTGGGTGGGACTCTCTGGAAACTTCCTTGGGACTCACAGTAAAACTGGAGGGCAGGCCAGGTGTCCTAGCTGGTGGCACACCTGTAATTCCAGAGACTTAGGAGGTTGAGGCAGGAGGATCATAAGTTTGAAGCCAGCCTCAGCAACTTGGTGAGACACTGTCTCAAAAATTCAAAAATAAAATAAAAAGGGCAGAGAATGTAGTTCAATGATTGAAGCACCCCTGGGTTCCAACCCCCAGTAACACACACACAGGTACACACAAACTTGGAGGGCAGGAGAGACACTATCCTCTCTGAGAGGACTCAGTCTGTCCCTTGAAAGTGTCCCCTTTCCCTTTGTTAGCCCTTCAATAAACTTGGGCCTGAGAGAGGTTGGCAGCACACACCGGCAGTCCCATGTTTGGAAGACTGAGGCAGGAGGATCACAAGTTCAAGGCCAGCCTCAGCAATTTAGTGAGACCTCTGCCTAAAATAAAAACTAAAAAAGCAGGGAGTGTGAAGGGCCCCTGGGTTCACCCGGGCCCCATCACCAAAACAAACAAACTCATGCCTGCTCCTCTGAGCCAATGTCTGGAATCTTTCTGGCTGTTGGCAAGGATTTGGGGGAAGAGGGGTGCTCAGTGGCTGCCCCAGCTTCTCAGTGCTTCTCTGCCCTGCAACTTTCCAGGTTGCCAGCGACCTCCATAAAGCCTTTCTTTCTACTCCAACAGCCGTCTCTGTGGCATTGTTTTTTTCCTGGGACAACCTTTGGGACCTCAAAGAGATGCTTTCTAAGTTTCAAAGCAGATGATGATTTTTGCCTTTTTCCCCCCAGTTGTTCTACAATTTTTTTTTTTTTT